CGCCTGGGCCGCCGCCGCCGATTGCATCATTGACATCAGCAGCATCGGATTGATCGCCTCCGGGCCGAGGCCGCTGTTCTGCTGCTGAAGTTGCTGCTGCTGCTGCTGAAGAAGGGCCGCAGCTGCTGAGGGATGCATGCCACCGGATTTGCTTCTGCCGCCATTTCCTCCTCCTCGATTTCCGCTTCCGTTTCCGCCTGGAAAGCCGCCCATTCCCAAACTTCCAGGCAGACCACCACCGGCCCCCGAGGGGCCGAGCAGCACCGGCGGCGCCGCCCCGTCCTCGTAGATGCCGTGCGTATTCTGCTTGTGCACCTTGAGGAAGTACTTGCTGCACAGCTCCTTCTGGCAGATGTCACAGGTCACCCCGCCGATGGTGCTCGACTGCTGCGCCTCGATGGGGTGCTCGTCAATGTTGATGTTGTGCATCTTCAGCATGTGCGTCTTCATGAAGTACTTATTGCAGAGCTCCTTATTGCAGATGTTGCAGTAGTTGCGGCCGGTCATCACCGGCCCCCGGGAGCCACCACCTCCACCTCCTCCTCCTCCTCCTGAGGACTTACCAGAAGAAGAAGGTTGACCATGGCTGGAAGGCATCATATGCATTGACGGGTGCTGCTGACCTCCATCATGAGGACCTCCTCCGGGAACGAGGCCAGCGGCGAGGGCCGCCTTGATGGTCGCCTGAATGGAGGTCGGGCTGTTGGAGGAGGACGAGGAGGGATGATGCAATGAGGACTGACCGGGGTTGAATTTGCCCTGCTGCTGCTGCTGCTGAGATTTGGCACTCTGCTGTTGTTGTTGCTGAAGAGCCGCCGCCTGATAGAGCGAAGACAGCAGCGCCGGAGGAAGTGCCTGATTGGGGTTCTGCTGATCGGCCATGCCGCTGTTGCTGTTGTTGTTCGAGTGCGACGGACTGCTGCCGCCCGCCGAGGTGCTGCCGTTGTTCGGCTCGTGAATGTTGTGAATGCGCGCCTTGTGCGTCTTGAGGAAGTACTTGCTGCAGAACTCCTTGTTGCACAGCTCGCAGTAAGCTTCGCTGCTTCCGTTTCCGCCGCTTTGCAGCCCCAACCCGGGAAGACTGCCGTCCCCTTTGAAGTTAGGACTGCTGAGGAAGTTTGAGGGCGACTGGCGGTCGAGAAAGTTGAGGCCGGCGGTAGCGTTCAGCATCGCAAGGAAGGCCTCCTCGGTGGGCGGAAAGCCGTGCTCGTTGATGAGGTGGGCGCGCAGGTAGTACCGATTCTCGCAGTCGTACTTGCAGATGTGACAGCTCACCTTGCCGTTCTCCTCGTCCATATTTCCGTTTCTGATCCTCTCTCCTTCTTCCCCCTCCTCCTCCTCGCCCTCTTCGTCGTTCATGTCACCACTGCCAGGCATCAGGCCCTTGATCATCGAGTGCAGCTTCTGCAGCTGGTCCTGCTGCTGCTGCTGCTGACCACCTGCTGATTCGCTCCCTTTAGCTGCCGCCGAGTTTGAGGACTTGAGTGAGCTCTGCGAGTTGCCGCAGCCGTGTTCGACCATGTTCAGCTCGGCGCTGACCAGCAGCGAGGGCGGCACACTGCAGCTGCCCACCTCCGCCTCGGCGTCAGAGTCCTCCTCCTCCTCCTGCTCGTTTTCGCTTTGGCGACCCTCATTATCATCGTCCTCAAAGTTGTAGTGGTCCATAGTAGGTGTCTTCTTACCGACTTCTCCTTCTTCCATTTCTCCAGCACCATTCTCGCCCTCACCTTCCATGCCCTCACCACCACCGCCCCCATTAAGGCTGGCGTAGGGAATGTCGTGGTAGTAGGCCTTGTGGACGTTGAGCAGGTAGGTGCTGGGAAAGGAGTGCGGCGCCTGGTCGGCAGTGCACAGCTCGCAACTGACTGAAGGAGTGCTGTTCTGCTCGGAAGTAGTGGCGGAAGTGGTGGTGGTGGTGGTAAAGGCGCCCAGAAACTGCTCGCCACTCTTTCCATAGCTGGCCGGGTCTCGCTGCCCGGGCTCCATGCCCGAGTCACTGTTGGCAGCTGAAGAGGAGGAGGAGTTGAACATGAAGGGCGCCCGTCCGTTCGGCCCGTTGCCCGCCGTCAGGCGGCTCTCCACCGGGAAGCGCCCCGGTATCGACTGCCCGTCCAGCAGGCCGTGCTTGTTGATCTTGTGCGTCCGCAGGAAGTACTTGTTGCAGAACTCCTTGCAGCAGATCTCGCAGAAGGCGTCCGCGTTGATGACGCCCATCGAGCGCAGCTTCTCCGGCGCCATCGCGCCCGGCGTTGCTAGTGTGGGTGTGGGTGCTGCTGCTGCTGAAGAATTTTCTGCCTGAATTGGTGTCTCCGATGTCTGTGATGAGTTCTGGTGGATAAACAAAGGGAAAAAGGGAAAAATATTGTGAGCAAAAATGTTCAGCACAAGTTTAGCAAAAAGCCGAAAAAGTGTATAAAATATGCAAACAGCTCTAAATAAAAACATGCGACACTGTTTTCACTCGCTCAATCTGTCTGGTTGCTGTTTTTATCATTGCGTGTGTGTCTTGTGACTGCTGGTACTGTGTTACAAACTAATATAACTCTGCTGCTGCTGAATGCTGCTGATAAAAAGGAAAAAGTAAAGCGCATCTTTGGCTTTTGTCGTGTTTTTTCCTGACAAGTCAAGTCTGCACAATCTGCACATCTCTGTCAATTTTTCTACTCGCTCGCTCATCAGTCAGTGCTCGGGACAGGGGACAAAGTGGTGATAAAGCGAAAAACTGTGGGCGGGCTAAAAAATGCCGCATCGCGCGTTTTTTACAGCTGTGATTTCTAAAAATCTGAAGCTGTTTTCACCATTCAACATGCAAACTTTTTTTTACAAAGTATCCATTGCAAAACCGAATGATCGCACTGCGGATGATCAAACAGATGAAAAAGAAGAAAAAACTTTGTAAGCGAGCTAGAAAGAAAGAAAAAGAACTGCTTTTCACTTGAAAATTGCTGCTCTAATCGTCGCGAATAATGATAAGATAGTTGTCGATAGCACTTCAACACAGCTGCAACACAGTTAAAATGTGACATTAAAAATAAAAAAAAAGATGCAAGCACTTTTTTAAGCATCAAAAGCACAAAAACAGTGTGTGTCGTAAAGTAAAATAACAGCTTTAGCAAGCAGATAGACACAAAGTGAAAAAAGAGACACTTTGCATTTTTTAACGACAGGCGCCATTAAAAAAAGTTGATCTGTTGCTGCTAATTAACGGGAAAAGCCCTGGGCAAGCAGGCAGGCAGGCAAGTTCATTCATTTGCCATTTCTACTGCATTTTTTGTAATATTATAAAGAGTTAAACAAGAAATTACAATTTTTAATTTTTGCTTTTCTTGGCGTGGCAGCCAGTTACTCCTCGCGTGCTACTTTTCTACTATTCTAAAATGTGCTCACTTTTTGGCGCTAGACACACACACTAAAACGCACCGTTTTTTAAAAAAGCGCCCTCAGTCAGTGTATATATAATAAGAAGCTAATAATTAAGAGAAAGAGGAAAACTGATTTATGATACCTCTACTAGCGATAAGCAAGCGCAGGCAAGCACTCTGAACTGAAGAATAATGATTTTATGATCAAAAATGATTGAATTGAAAAGAGGAGGAGGAATGTAAAATCACTGAGAAAAGAGTGCCCCAAAGCCAGCATTGAATTGACATCCTTTCTCCCCTCTCTTTTTCTCTAAAATGATGAGAACTGAAAGATAACAAACATGCAAACATGCGATCCAAAAATAAAAGAAGAAAAAATGAGCCACTTACCATGCCTCCTGTTGCGGTCTTATCCTTATCATAGGCGAAAATTGTTGAAAGCTGCGGTTGGCCACCTGTTGAGCCGTTGCCGTTGGTCGCCGATGGTGACAATGGACTAGTAGTGGCTTTACCCTCGCCCAGATCAGGTGAACTCCTCAACTGCTGCTGCTGCTGCTGCTGCTGAAGTTGCATCTGATGTTGGAGCATCTGCAACTGCTGCAGCTGCTGCAGCTGCGCCGGGTGGTTGGGCTGCTGCGAGGCGGCGGCAATCTGCGCCGCCAGATTGGGCGGCGGAATGGGCGTGTCGCCGTTGTAGATGTACCCGTGAATCTTCTGCTTGTGCTTCTTGAGGAAGTACTTGTTGCAGAACTCCTTCTGGCAGATCTCACAGTACGAGTCGAGGTTGATCATGTTCAGGTTGAGGTTGAGGCGCATCGGCCCGCCGGGAAAGCCGGGCAGCAGGCCTGGTGAGGAGGAAGAGGGGGCGTGATTTCCAAAACTGCTGTCGGTGGGGTTAATGAGCAAAGAAGAGTTGTTGTTGTTGTTGTTGTTGGGACTAGTTTTCGAAGAAGAGGATGAGGATGTGTTTAAGGAGGGGGCGTTCGAAGAGTGATGAGGATGGTGGTGGTGATTGCCGTTCGTAGCGGCCGGGCCGCCCATCATTGAGGACAGAGACAGCCCCAGAGGAAGTCCTCCACTTCCACCGGACATAGAAGTCGGCGGAAACAACGAAGATGAGGATGAGCCGGAATTGGCCGGCAACGGCACCGTTCTCCGCTGTTCATCTCCTGAAGAGCCGGAGTTTCCACCACCGCCTCCTCCACCTCCGCCACCACTTCTGCCCTCAGCATCAGGCGTGTAGATGCCGTGCTTGTTCGCTTTGTGCGTCTTGAGGAAGTACTTGTTGCAGAACTCCTTGTTGCACAGCTCGCAGTACGCCTCGGGGTTGAAGATGCGGAGAGAGGCGGCGGCAGCGGCGGCGGCCGCCGCCGAGGAGTTGCCCGGCGCCACGGGGACGCCGTTTAGCATCGCTGGTCCGCCTTGGCCGGTGTGATGAAGTTGCTGCTGCTGCTGCTGCTGCTGATGGTGGTGAAGGAGTTGCTGTTGAAGAGGATGAGAAGAGTTGGGCCCACCAAATTGCTGACTTAGGTGGTCGCGAAAAGCGGGCGGCAACGCTCCCGGATTACCTCCTGCTTGAGATAAAAGTTGTGGAAAGAGAAAGGGCGCCATGCCGGGCGGAAAGATGGAGGCGAGGGCGGCGGCGGCGGCCGCAGAGGATGCCGACGATGAGGGTGAAATCGCCCGAGGATCTCCTCCTGAGGAGGGTGAAATCTGCTGGGAGTTGAAGGACGTGAGGTGGTGTTGGGGGTGAGGGAGGTGATCAAAGGGCGAGGACTGGCTGGCTGGCCGTCCTGAGGACGGCGAGGACTGAAGTAGTCGAGCCTGCTGTTGTTGTTGTTGTTGAAGTTGCAGAAGCGTCGTCGGAGAATGTGGCCCCGGTGAGGTGGCCGAGGTCCCAGGAGGAGCTGGTGGCTTTCCATTGCCGTTCAGCGAGGAGATCAGCGGCGAGGAGAGGGAGGAAAGCGACTGGAGGAGGCTGTTGTGATTCAGGTCCTTGGAGTTGCGACGTTGCTGGGGCTGGTGCTGCTGCTGCCTGGCACTCTTCGGCGGCAGCGGATGCCTCGCCTGCAGATTCTGCGCCTCCTCCTCCTCGTCCTCAAATGGATGCAGTCGCGAGTCAGAGTCCTCCGAGTTGGCCTCGGAGTCGGCCGCCTCGGAGTCCAGTGAGCTGACTGATCCGCCCGGGCTGGACGGGTTGTTCGGGTGAAAATTGTGGTTGTTCAGTTTTCGCTTCCTCCTCCTCGAATGGTCCACCTGTTGCGCCGCTTGGTGCAGCTGATGCTGCGCCTGCAGCTCCTGCAGCTTCTGCTGCATCGCCAGGTGCTCCGCCAGCTGCTTCAGCTGCAGGTGGGCGGCGGCGGTGGCGGCTTCCGGTGAAGAGGAGGCGTTGTTTGCGGAAATTCCTGGATTGGGCATTTGAAGCTGTAGCTGCTGACCGTTTGGGTCCTTCATGAGGTGCTCGTACTCGATGTGCGCCCTCAGCTGCTCCTCGCTGGCGCAGGCGGCGTTACAGTGCGGACAGAAGACCGAGCTGATCAGCTTCTGCTGCAGACTGGCAAACATGTTGGCGAGCAGCAGCTGTTGCTGCTTCTCGCGCAGCACCTCGTCGTCTTCTGAAGTGCTGTTGGTCGTCGCAGATCGTTCGCCTTCTTCGTCGATCGTCGTAGTGGCCGGTGTCGACTGTTGCTGCTGCTGCTGAGGTTGCCCCGCTGTGGTCGGAGCGGCGGCAGCAGCAGGTCGTCGCTTAGCCCTTGACCGCTGCTTCCCCGCCGTCTGTCGCTGTCTGCCGTCGCCCTCCCCCTCCTCGCCGCCGTCTTCACTTCGGCGGGCCTCTACGTCTCCTAGAGGCTCCTCCTCCTCTTCACCTTCTTGCTGCTGCTGCTGCTGCTGCTCTTCATCGTTGTTCATGCCGCCAGCAGTTTGGCCAAACTGAAGTGAAGCCTGTTGCGCCGATGAAGACTTTGAATTGCGGCTGCGAGATGGCTTCTTCTTCTTTGCTGGCGATTTTGAGTTTTTAGCGAAAAGCGACGACGATCCATCGGGCTTCATCAGCAAACTGGAGGAGGGCTCACCGTCGTTGTCCGAGCTGTTGTCATCGGAGGAGCTGTTGTTGCTAGAGCTTCCTGAACCGCCGCCGCCGCCATCATAATCGTTGTGATGGTTCTGGCTTAAAGCATTTGGATCTCCAGAATGCTCCAAGCTCTGGCCACCACCACCACCGCCGCTGAACATCTGCAGGAGGGAGGGCGCCATGCTGGCGAGCCACTGCTCCTGCGGAGAAAGGGCGGCCAGGTTGCCGGAGGCGGCCACCGTGGCGGCGGCCACTGCCGCGGCCAGCAGCTGACTGGCACTGGCCAGACTGGCGGCCTCCTCGTCGGCTGGGTTCGAAATGGTGGTCGGGGCGTGTTCATTGTTATCATTGCCACCCCCTCCTGAGAGCATCTTGGCGATTCGCTGCAGGCCTTCAGGCTGCTGCTGCTGGTCCATCATCATCATCGACGCCGCCGCCGCCGCCGCCTGTCCATTGCTGGAGAAGATGCTCTGGTGGTGGTTATTCTCGTGTTCATTATCATCTTCCTCCTCCTCCTCCTCGTGGTCACTTCTTTCTTCTTCCTCTTCTTCATTTGTTGTATTTGCAGTTGTGTCCATTGCATTGCGGCTTTTGCTGTTAAGAAGAAAGGGGTGGTCAGCGTTTCCATCAGCGACAGTGGAGAGGGTCGCCTCGCAGAAGTTCGCCACCGAGGGAATGTGGTCGGGAAGTAGTGGTGGTGAGGATGATGAGGAGTTTAGCTGCTGATAAAAGCTGTTTGGGGAATGCTGCAGGGATGATGATGTGTTTGGAGTAGTGATATTTTGATGTTGTGACTCAGAAAGTGCTGCATCAAGAGGACTAGTGGAGGATTGCAGTGGTTGTGGTGGTAGTTGTTCAGAGGATGAAGGCTGTCGCCCATCCTCAAGACTGTTTCCCATCACCTTGGGATTCAACAGCTGCTGAGGGAGCTGTGCTGCTCCAGCCGAAGCGGAAGCTGCCGTCGTCGTCGTCGTCGTCGTCGAGTGATGGGACAAGGACGAGGGCGGCTGCGGCGAAGTGGGCGTTGGCGCCGTGGCAGCAGGCGGCGGCACCGTCGCCACCGGTGGCGGCGGCTGATTGTGGCTGCTGTGGTCCATCATCATGATCATGGTGGCCAGAGAGAATAGGGGAGAAGAGACTGCTGGAAAGAGTAGAAGGTCTGTTCTGTTCTGCTCTGCTCTGGAGGTCAAAAGGGTGAACAGGTAGTGGTGGTGGTGGTGGTGGTGGGATGAGCTGAAGGGTTCATCGGGAGGAAAAAAAGATGGCGTCTTTTTTGTTCAAACCAAAACGCTTGTTGTTCTGCCTGAAAAGGAAAACGCTTGGCTTCCAAGTGAGCAACGAGCCTCTTTCCTCTCAAGCGGTCATCCGTCTTTCCGCTGCTGATCAGCTGATCAGCGACAAAAACATATCAAAATATCAACAACAAATGCGGAAAAAAGCAGCGAGAAGGAAGAAGATTTAAATTGAAATTGATTCAATTGCCGGGCAATCGATCTCAGCGCGCCAGAACTGGAGAGACAGATTTTTAAAGAAGTAGTTAGCCAACAGAGAAACAGTGAAGCGAAACGATTTCGCCTTTGACTTTAGTAAACGTTTGCTGTTTTCGGCTGCAGGGTGGTTAGAAGTTGCCGTTGAAGAGAAGTGACACCGTTGCTGCCAAGAAGACGAAGTTTGAAGAAGTTTGAAGTTAAAGTCAAAGAAGTTGAAGCTGAAGAAGCTGAAGAAGAGGCAATGATGATTGATGGCCGCCAATGACGACGGCTGAGACGTCGAGTGCCGTTGAAATGGACCACTGCTGACGAAAGACGAGCCAACTTTGTTCAGCAGTCGGCTTTGATGACATCCTCTCACTTCAAGTCAAGTTGATGATGATGATGATTTAAATTTTAATATCTCAAAGAAGTACCAGCGAAGTGGATCCTCTTCGTTTCAATCAAAGTCGCAGTGTAGTTGTCGGCGGTGGTAGTCGAATGAAATGAATTGAAAAGATTTTCTCCTCCCTTTTCTGCTTGCGTTTTTGGATGCGTGCTCTTAAAACGATATCTGTTTGTCACCCAAACTGGTGGCCAGCTTATCAGCAGCAGCAGAAGCAAATTGAGAGTTTTCTGTTTTTGAGTATTGAGAAAGAGAAAGAGGGGAAGAAGAAGAAGAAGAAGAAATCGATTAGTCAAAGTGATGCTGATAAGAAGAAAGCTCTTGCACACAGCAAACTAAAACTTGTAAACAATGCGTATTTGTTTCAAAAATCAAGTCTATTTCAATTTTCAATCATCATCAGCATCACCATCATCACTGACTAAAGGGCAAAGTAAGTGTGCAAGTACAAAAGTGTGCACAAAACTAAAACTTGAACAACGGATCAAAAACTCAAGTCAAGAACATCAATCTTCAAATGTACTCGTGGTGTGAACGAGTGGATGAGTGGACAAGAAAAAAAACTTGGCTAGTGAAATGAAATAAAGTCGTCTAGTGATAAGAAGAAGAAAAAGCGAAAGTAAAAAAAAGTTTTATATGTAACTCTTGTGCTCAAAAAAATCAAAAACATCACTTGATGATGCAAATCAGCAGCAGCACTGACGCAGCACTGTTTAGTGTGAAGCCAAAAACACGTAGACAGGGCGCGATTGACTGTGATGTCCTATTAATTTTGACATTGTCACAAATAAATTGTGCGATGGAGATTCCGCTTATCAAGTTTACTTATTTGGTACTGTTCACC